TCTTCCTGGACGTGAAAAAGACATACGACACCGTATGGAGAAATGGGTTGCGGAAACAACTGTCCACATACGGGATCAAGGGGAAACGGTGGAGGGTGCTGAAGAAGATGACAGAGTACGAAAAGCGCGGTCATACTAAACGGAGAACTGTCAAAATTCTCCGGCATTGAGCAGGGGGTCCCACAAGGTTGCACGCTGTCTCCAACATTGTTCCAGGTGTTCATCAACGATCTGTTGGAAGTCGTAGAGGCAGTCCGNAGAGATCGCAAAAGACTGCTCGTGGAATGCACACATGTCCAAGGTAGCGGAAAAGGGCAAAGCACGAGCAGGGAAGCTGCACCCAATACTCGCAAACCGGCACCTCGATACACGCATCAAATTGACGGTTTTGAAGAGCGTAATCGTATTGCCGCTATAGTACGCCGGAGAAGCATGGGAAGGAAATAAGAAGGTAGTAAAAAAACTCGAGGCGGCGCAGATGAAAGCAGCGAAAATCATCCTAGGATGCTCCAGGCGCACAAGTAATGCAGCCGTGAGGGCAGAATTGGGGATCCAATCCCTACGGTCGGGAAGAGACGCGAGGAAGCTGACCTGGCAGTATCGCATGTGCGGGATGGGAGAGGAGAGGTTGCCGAGAATTGTATGGGAGGCGAAGTGGGCAAACAAAAAGAGGGGTAGACAACCCACGGAATGGGTCAAGGTTGTAGAGGACGTATGGAAGGGGCTCGACATCGGCGAAGATGAAACGCTGGAAACGGAGGGTCTACAGGGGTTCAAGGAGAAGATATCTGTTGCTTGTGCCGAGAGAGAAGAACAGAATCTGAGGAAAGAATCCAAGGATAAGGAGGGTCTAGAAGTGTACGGAATGTTGAAGGAAGGAATAGGGTTCAAGGACTACCTACATGGACCAATGGATGCAGGAACAAAGCTTAAGGTCAAATTCAGGACCGGGGACATAGGCCTTCGAGAACGTCGACGAAGACATAGGACGGTAGACGAGGAAGACGACGAGTTCAAATGTGATTGCGGCTTCGAATGCGAAGACCGTGTTCATGTAGTCGTGGAATGTCCGTTGTACAATAAGGAGAGGAAAGTGTACGTGACTGAGCTGGGAAAAATAGATAGGACGTACAGTGAGATGTTTGATGCATGGAATAGAGAGGAAAGGACGGTAGCTGTACTGGGGCATAGGAGGTGGGTTGAAAAGGCGGGAAGGGATATCGTCAGAGGATAGACAGACTAGGGAAGACATTTTTGAGCTACCTTTGGCAAACTAGAGGAACGATTG